TTGGCCAATCATAAGATTGATTTATTCGACAGCCATTTATAATACCGATAAATCAAGCTTATGATTGGCCATTTGCAAGTCCAATCAGGACTCGTAACACCGGTCGCGCTTCTCTGATAATCTAGGACTCTAAGTGGACCTACTGGTTAACTGTGGCTATACAGCCTGAACTGAGTGTACTCGCCGTCCAACGGGAGCAAATCCGGAGGGGCGAAACAGATGCAACAATATTGTAAAGGAGAAAGTCACTAAGGGATCATATCATGATCTCAAGGAATTTGAAGTAGGAGGACAAGAGAGTGCAGAATCTAGGAGAAGGGTACTTAAGCATAGGAAATAAGTCGATCGTGAATGTGGGGAAATTCTTCTTTATGAATGCTCTGAGCTTGGCAGACTTATGGATGCAGAGCTAACAGTAAAATACAATATGATTGACATCTTGCCTTGTATCGCCGCATGGACATTCTGGAGAGTCGATAATCTTTTTCGTAAAAAGGCTGTAATTCAGGTTGTAGTGGTTACTTCGAATGCGGGAAACGCAGACTATTTCCTCTCTATTAAGACCTTTATTGTGGAACCAAGGCTTAGGTGAATCATTGAGGTACAGCTCTGAGTATTGAATGCCTTTGACAAGGAATGCCTCATCAAGGTATTGTTTGAAGGTCACTTGACGGTGAGCTTTAGCTTGCAGATCCGTGTGAGGAGTGTCGAAAAAAGGAGGCCTGGTGCCATTGGTTGCGGCCAGCCTGGCGAGGCGATCCGCGCTTTCGTTTCCTGGGATCCCCTTGTGCGATGGGATCCAGCAGAGAGTGATGTTTCTTCCTTCAGAATCTGCAGTGATAAGACTTTGTTTGTTTCGGTGTATGATGTAGTTGCCTTGTTTATAGTCCGATGAGGCGATAGCGGTGAGAACGCTTCTAGAGTCTGTAAAAATGATGGCTTCAGTGATATTTAAATCTTTAGTCGAGATGATAGCGTGCATTATAGCCCAAGCTTCAGCCGAAAAGATGGAAGAAGAAGAGGGAAGCTTGTAGCATGCAATAAAGTTGTAGCTTGGAGAGTATATGCTTGCTCCTACTGAAGAGTGTGTGTCTAGTTTGGAACCATCCGTGTAGAACGCAGTAGCCTCGTTGGGAAAGTCCTCAAAGAATTCTGTGAATTTAGATTGTACCACTCCCGGGTGGGTGTCTTTATCTATGCTTGATATAGATATATAATCTTTGCTGTAAATGGAGAGTTCATAGCTGTTGCCAAAAGCGGGCAAGAATATTGAGCGGTAAACATTTTCTTTAGTATGTCTTGTGGCGCAGTATCTGTCATAAACTAAGATGTGCTTTCGAGCTTTGTCCTTGAGTGTGTCCGAATAAGCGGATTTGTCTAGGCGTCGCAAACTGCGTAAGACAATACTGAATCTCTGAGAGTATTGTTTATATAGATATTTATCCGTGAGGTAAGTGAATCTTACAGAGAGTGGATGTTCTTTCGCTTCTGCGAGCATAACATTTATAGGTGTGGAAATTCTGTATCCTAAGTCAATTCTGATGGAGCGGTATTGCTGCCTTTCAAGCTTTAATAAGGCCCGTTCTACAATACGTCGTATGTCGGGTCTAGCCGTAAGCCGTAAGATTTAACCAATTACAATCGAATATTCTTCTTACATTCAACTGTGATTGGTCAATTCTTACGACTTACGGTTTACGATCCGACATATGACGTATTGTAGAACAGGCCTAAAGCGGTTTTATTACCCGTAAAACGGAAGACAAAGCACCCATATTCAATAGAGCCGCGGAAAACAGATCGATAGATGTTGAGTAGAGTGTCAGTGTAGTGTTATTAGCTAGTTATTTTGAGTATTAATTTTAATTTAGTTACTAGAGCGTGAGGGCGCGCGCGTTCCTTCCTGTGTCTTTTCGTCATGGCTTTTTATCTAAGCATTCATAAGTAACCACTCTGTAGAGCTTTTTTCGTTTAAGTTATATAATAAACTTATAGTTTTGTATCCTGCCTCTCATTATTACCCGAAGACATTACATATTGGCGACGAGGATTAATCAAGACTAGTGTGTGCAGCAAATTTTATAAAAGACAATCGACTTACGACCAAGGCGGCTGTAAGTAAGAAGGTTAAAGATGTCGGATTCGGAAGAGGGCAGCGAGAAGCAGCAGTGGCGGAAGGCCCAGGAACAATGGCTCGAGTAACAACAAATTTTAAATCATAGACGCAAGGAGCAAGATCAATTGAAGGCAAAATTGCATCAAGAGCAAATGCAGTTAGCTGAGTGGCAGAGGCAGTTGCAACAGCAGCAGAGTGTAATCCAGCAGCAAGTGCAGAAAGGACAATTAATTTTGCCTGGGAAACAGGCTAAGCAAATA